CTCCAATAATTTCAAATAGATCTACCATATGATCCACCAACCCCACTTCTGGGTATATATAGAAAAGAATTGAAAGCAGCGTCTTGAAGAGATGTTTGCACATCCGCATTCATAGCACTATTCACAATAACCAAGAGGTGGAGACAACCCAAATGTCCATTACTGAATGAATGGATAATCAGAATAAGGTATATACAGCCTTAGCCAGTTTGGCTCAGTGGATAGAGCATTGACCCACAGACTGAAGGGACCCAGGTTCGATTCTGGCCAAGGGCACATACCTCAGTTGCAGGTTTGATCCCCAGCCCTGGTCTGGGCACCTGCAGGAGGCAACCAATCAATGTGTCTCTCTCACATTGATGTTTCACTCTCTCCCTTCCACTCTCTCTGAAAAGCAATGAAAAAAATATCTTCAGGTGAGGATTTAAAAAGAAAGTATATATACAATGGAATACTATGCAACCTTAAAAGGGAAGGAAATTCTGTCACAAGCTCCAACATGGATGAACTTTTAGGATGTTATGCTAAGTGAAATAAGCCCGTCACAAAAGGATAAATACTATATGACCCCACTTATATAAAGTATCTAAATTAGTCAAATCAGTAGATATAGAAAGAATGTTACTAGATATATAGATATATAGAATGGTGGTTACTAGAGGTTGAGGAGAGAAGGCAAAGGGGCTTTTATTTAATGAGTATAGAGTTTCAGTTCTGCAAGATGAAAAGGATCTGGAGATCTCTTTCACAACAATGTAAATATACTCAACACTACTGAACTATACACTTAAAAATGTTTAAAATGATAAACTTCCTACCACAATCAAAAGAATTTTTTTAAACCTTTCTATGCTGTTCCAACATTTACAACTTTATTAGATAAATAATAATAATTATTATAACAGCCATAACAATGTCAACAGGGATAAAAACTTCCATTGGTTGAGTTCCTGAAAACAAACAAAACTATGTTTCAGTTTTTATAAGTTTTGGTCTATTTCCTATTTCTCTTTACTCTTGGGGTACAGCCCCTTGAGGGTCCACTGAGAGCTGGCGTGTTTATAGAAGCCCTTTACCCTTGGGATCTCCAACTTTTATCTTCCAACTCTGTGAGATGGCCAGAAGACCTGCTCAGACTCTCAGGCTATTACCTGCCAATTATGAATCAGCAAGTGCCCCAGAGGGAAAAGTGGCACCCTCTCAGGCTCACCTCTCTGAGCTTCTCTTCTCTCTAAGACCTCGATCCCTCAAATCCTTGCTGCCTTGATGCTTTCAGATATTTAAAATACTTTTTTCAGCTTTTCTAATTACCCTTAGTAGGGGAGATGGTATCATGCTAGTCTTCTATATCTAGATGCAGAAGTCCTTGGGAAATTTTAGAAAATTGAATAGAGAGACCTTTCCAGTGGTGATTTAGATTACAGGCTAATGTGAAATAAAATGTATGGGATTTGGGCTGGAAGACCCTAGTTTGACTCGTCTTTACCATAACCTATGAGACGTTGGGAAAGCCTCAACCCCTGGGAAGCTTAAAGGTACATTTCTAGTGAGTGGACAGCATGTATATAGGTAGGTATTATGTACAATTCTTGGCCTCATTGTTGGTTCTGTTTTATCTCCAGTTTTATCCATCTTTCATCTTTTGCATCATTTTAACATATGCTCTTCTGAAGCATCATGTTTCATTGCCAGTCACCTTAAATTCTTTCTGGCAGTATTTTAAATTATTTACCCATTATTCATTCATTAAAATAAACATGTTTACTCCCTAAACCTCACCAATTAAATCAAAATACGTAATGATCCCTTATTTAGTTTACAAGACTGAGGTTCAGATCGCATGAGATGATGTATATGAAAGTGCTTTGTAAAGTTATGTACCAGCATAATTAATTTATTTAAACCTGGGAGTCATGTTCAATATCCCTTCTTCTTTGTTTTTCATATCTTGCCCATTAGCATGTCTTCCCATTTTAACTCCCTACATGTCTGTCAAATCTATCCACCTCTATCTTCACCAAAACTCCTCTGACCAGGCCACCATCATCTCTCACTTGAACCATGATTGTAGTTTCTTATTGGTCCTTTCTCTTCCACTTTTTCCCCCACTGAATAATTTTCCCTATTTTACTCAGTGTGGTATTTTTAAAATGCAAATCTGATTGTGTTACTCTCTTGCTTAAAATACCATTCAATAGCTTCCCAGCTCTCTGAGGAAAAATATCAGTCTTTAACTCAACTCTGCAAGGTTTAGCCCTTGCCTTGCCTCTCCCCATCACAATCTGTGCTCCAGTTCCATGGCCTTCCTTCAGTTGCTCCCTGCCTCAGGGCTTTTGCACATGCTGTTCTCTCTCCTCCCACCCCACCCCTTGCCCCATTACCTAGCTAACTCCTATTTATCCTTCCAGTTTCCCAGCTTAAATGTCACTCTCTTAGAGGAGACTTTCCTAACTGCCACACCTAGGTCCTAGAACTTGAAACCTCTCTTTTATAGCAGATAAATAATTAATGGTGCAAGCACGTCATACTATCTGTTTCCCCTGCTGAAATATAAGCTCCTTGGTTGTCAGGGACACATTTATCTAAGTTATTACTGTATTACCAGTGCCTAATACAGTTCCTGGTGCACAATAGTGCTCAATAAATACTTGTGTCATCAATGAATAAATGAACCTTTCTTGGGTACACACCAGCTGACAATTTGTTTTTCTGCCAGAGGCTGGGGAGTTAAAAGGTGTGGGTATAGTAGGAAGCAGGACAGACCTTTCTGACCACTCCTTCCTCTACCCTTCTCACATTAAGTACTCACCTTCCCCAGTTCAACCGAAACACAACAGTGTCTGCCTCATCATAGGCTCTCCAAAAGTACCCCAAGTAGAATACTGCTAGATCATGGGGGTTTTTTGAAGCTCTGTGGGTAGTGTATCAGGAAAGAGGAGATTCTCTTTGCTAGTACCAGAAGAACGAACCTCCAAAAGGGAAGCTAGCTCATGAGCTCCCCAGTGCCCTCCTGTGGGGAGCTCACAGTGGTCAAAATAGTTCTTCCAGCCAGGCTTTTCCTTCCCCTCCAAGTTTTTGTCGTTTTTAAAATATTAAGATATCATATATGCTCATGATACAAAGCTATAAAAGGATATACACCCCCCCAAAAAAAAAGCTTTACCCCTACTCACTGAATTTCCCTATCCAGAAGCAATAACTTTCCAGAAATATTTTATATAAACACAACTAAATTCATATATATTCTCCCACACACACCCTGTATAGAAAGGTAGCTTACTTTTCACACTGTTCTATAGCTTGCTTATTCCATTTTACAGTATAGCTTGGAATATGGAGGGCAGGTGTGTGGTAGAAGGGGTCAAGGGAAAAACAAAGGGGACATCTGTAATACTCTCAACAATAAAGATAAATTTTTAAAAAACAACAATATAGCTTGGAGATTGTTCCATATCAGTTTGTATAAAGCTACTTCATTCTTTTTCATACTTGTATTCTTTTGAATGCATGTCTCATAATTTTTCTGCCCAGTACCTTATTTATGGACATTTAGGTAGTTTCCAATATTTTGCTATTGCAACTACCAGTGCAGTGGATATACTTGTATATATTTCATTTTATGCATGTTTTGTTATTTGCATAATAGAATACCTAAAAGTGATTCAAAAGTATAGACATTTAAAGTTTTGGTAGATATTACTTGCCACATTTAGCACATACTTAATGCATACATTTGGTCTATGTACTGTAATGTCATATTATATCTTAATATCTAGGAAGCTGGTCATACTACATTCCCCTTTTAGAAATTTCTTTTTGAACCTCGGAATCAACTTTTCTAATGTCAGAGAAAAAACTTGTTGGCATTTTTATTGAGAATTCATAAAACTTAAGATCAACTTACTAGATTATTTTATCTTTTATAATCATTTTAGTAGATTCATGTTTTCCAGGTAAAAATCATATCATCATCACATAATGAAAAATTTACCTCTTCATTGCTCATGAAGAATGTTTTGTGGTAGGGGGATTGAGAAGGCAGCAACTTCATTTTTTTATAAGATTCTTCAAATGGGCAATGGTTTAAAGCTTTAAAAGTACAAAAGGGCCTACAGCAGAAAAATCACCTTCTGACCCCATCCCCCAGCTTTCCTCCCCACAGGCAACCAATGTTCTTTGTCATTTCTTTTATACCCTTCTACAGATATCCCATATACATGCAGGCCAGCACAGCTTCCCTGAGAGTGCTTCTGGTGACACAGTCTCAGAAGCCCAATCAAAATCTGGGCATTAGAAGGTCAAAGAAAAACAAATAGGAGATCCTCTCCTGTGTCTTGTCTCCTTGGTGACTAGACAAATAGAAATAAAAAAGACATGGGCTCTGAGTCCCAAGATAGTTCCACAACGTCTCTTGTAGGGTATCCCAAAACCTGGTAGGCTTGGAAGAGCTTGAGCTCTGGTTTCTGCTTTCATTTATTTTTCACCAACAAATTCTACCTTCTTATCTCTTTCACACAGATGAGTCCCAGACATACATGTTCTCTCTACATGTTTATCAAAACAGTCCACAAACATCTAGCAGCTTGCAGCCCATGATATGTTTAGGGCCTGAGATTTGGGGCTGGATGTGGGACTCCTGTTTGAGGAGTCATCTCTTCAAGAGTCTTTCAGTGTCATCCAGGTAACATCTCAGAGGATCTCTTGAAGTCACTGAAGCCACAGGCTTAAAGGTTTCTTCTGGGCTTCTCCAAGTGGCACATCTTTCCCACTCCACTCCCCACTCCAGCCTGCCAGGCATACCCCTGCTTGGGCCTCCTGGCACAAGAGATAAAGTGAAAATGGTAACTCCCAACAGCTGGTCCAAGAGATACCAGCAGGGAGGGGGTAGGAGAGAAGAAACTTGTCAGGGAGCTCACAAGAGAAGCGGAAGGCAACTCCACTATTTATAGATTCTTAAGCCAACAAAAATACCTCCATCATTTTTTGTTTAGAGGACAGATTCAGAGGGGGAGCCCCAAGCAACAGTTCAAGACAGGCACTTCCTGTGGCCAAGTGGATAAGAGCAGCCTGCATCCATGGGACAGGGTGAGCCAAGCCAACTAACTCTCCATGGGGCTTGCTGGACTGTCAGTAACCCCTCTATCATTGTGTTTTCATTAAAGGAAGTAGCATGGTGGTGGAAGTGATGGCTGTGTGACTATGGTGAGGAGTGGTAGTGGGTGCTGGTAGTGGTGGAGGTGAAGGTGGTGGGGCTATGGAGTGGCAACAAGGTAGATTGTGCTGGTAAGTTCATGGTCATAATTGTGATGGTGGTGGTAAGATGGTGATGATGGTTAACACAGATTTATATTCTTGTCCCAGGATCATCATAACATGACTATTCTCACTAGTTGTGATACTTATGGGAGATGACACTGGAAAAACATGAGGGTGTCATAACTTCAAGTCTAAATGGAAAAGAAGGGAATTAAGGAATCCAACTAAAAGGGGCAAAGACAGACATAAAGCAAGAAAAGAGGCAGACCCAGAGGATGCAGAAACTTCATGGCCTCTCCACAGGCCTGTTAGCACATTTACAAGTCTTGTGAATGAGAATTGTCTGATAAACTGTTTTAATTTTCTTGGGCCCCCTCCTTGTAGAGTTTTTCTGGGCTGCATGGTGCCATACATTTGGTAGGCTTTTAGGTGAAACAGCCAAAATCTTGGGTGAGCTGGTTCTACTCTCTGGGCCTCACTCTTCTCTCACGTATAAAACAAGTGAATTGGACTTAGTGATTTCAAAACCAGCTCTTAAAATTATCTGATTGTGTTCTAAGAAAAACTTAGTACTGGTGAGCAAGATTCTGGATTTTATTCATTGCTTTTGAATCGGGACCAGAAAAGGGGGTCAACAATGAAAACAAACACTGCTCTTGATATTAATAAGTTTCATTTAATCGGACTTATGTGTCTGGCCCTGTGCTACGTGTATTACAACAGTTCCCCTTTTTCATGGTTTCAGTTACCCATGGTCAACTGTGATCTGAAAATATTAAATGGAAAATTCCAGCAGTAAATAATCAATAAATTTTAAGTTGTGGGCCGTTCTGAGTTGCGTGATGAAATCTCACGCCATGTGCTTCCTGGGATGTGATCAGCCCTTGGTCCAGGGTATTTATGGTGCATATGTTACCAGCCCTTTAGCCACCTAAGAGCCATCCAGGTTACCAAATAAAATTTGTGGTATCACAGTGCTTGCTTTCAAGTAACCCTTATTTTACTTAATAATGACCCCCAAACCATTCACATAACTTTTATTACAGTATATTGTTATAATTGTCTCCTTTCATTAATAATTATTGCTGTTAGTCTCTAACTGTGCTAAATTTATGAATTAAATTTTATCATAAGTATGTATATATAAGAAAACACATAGTATGTAGCAGCAATTTTCAACCTTTTTCTCATAGAACACATAAAACTAATTACTAAAATTCTGCAGCACACCAAAAAATGTATTTTTTGCCAATCTGACCAAAAAAAAAAATAGGTATAATTTTGATTCACTCACGCTAGATGGCTATTGTGTTGGCTGTGTCATTTTTTTATTTGGCAATCTAAGGGAAAAGAGGTCAGTGCCCCTTACTAAATAGTCAGGTTTTGCACTTTCAAAAAATTCTTATAGCACACCAGTTGAAAATCTCTGGTATATAGCACAGGGTTTGATAGTATTTGTTGTATTTGTAGGCATCCACTGGGTTCTTGGCATGTATCCCTTAGGGATAAGGGGGGGACTACTGCATATACATTACTTCATTTAATCTCCACAACCCTGCAAGGAGGAGTGATCATTCTAAGGAAGAGAAAACTGAGGGTCAGAGTAGTTAAGTTACTTGCCTTAGGTGGCACAGCTAGTAAGTAAATTGAGCCAAGGATTTTTGAGCCTTGGTCTCTCTGACTCCAGGTCTCTGTTTTATTTACTTGTCGCAATTACCTAGTCTCCATGTTTTCTCTCTTTTCCACATAGCCCTGGGGATCAAGAGCTGCGACTTCAAGGCAGCAAGAAACAATGAGGAGCACCATACCAAGGACATCAGCTCCAAGCGCCTCATTGTGAGGAGGGGACAGCCTTTCACCATCAGGCTGCACTTCCGGGCGCCAGTCCATGCATTCCTGCCTGCCCTGAAGAAGGTGGCCCTCATTGCACAAACAGGTAAGTGGGGCAGGCCTAGACCCCTTTGGCAGCAGGATTGGAGGGTTCTTTCTCATCACCCCCTCAGAGAACTAAGGGGCAAATGGCCTACATGGTACCTGGTCCTCAAGACGTTTTGCCCACCTAGCAGGGCTGCTGTGAGGAGATAATGTGCATAATAAGTCTTGTTTATTATGATTCAGAAGTTGCTTTGCAACATTATCACTAGGGGTTTTTTTTGTTGCAAATATACCAGTTTTGTAGAAAAGCCTGAATGGGATCTAATCCAGGCTGAATATCACGTTTAGTTGTTCCTATTTATTGAATCTGTACTACATGCCGGATATTAGGCCAATGGCTTTACATGCAATATCTCATTAAGACCTCACATTGACACTCCGAAGCAGGTATTATTGCTATGCCCATTTTATAGACTATGACATACCTAAATGTAGGTCCCTGGACACTGAGAACCTGTGCGCTCCCACCACCCTCTACTGCCTCCCATTAATGGATGGGCTTCTTACTCTCCTCCCAAAACAATTTTTTACCTGCTCCAATTTTGTTATACTCGACTCTATTATTCCTCAGTTGTGACCAAGAGGTCCAGGTGACCAATTCATGTGTTTGTGACTGCAGGAGAACAGCCTACCAAGGCCAACAGGACCCAAGCCACGTTCGGGATTTCCAGTCTGGGGGACCGCGAGGGGTGGAGCGCGGCGGTGGAGGAGAGAGAGGCGGAGTCCTGGACCGTCTCTGTGACCACGCCCCCAGACGCTGTCATTGGCCACTACTCGCTCCTGCTGCAGGTCTCGCGCAGGAAGCCACGCCTCCTGGGCCAGTTCACCCTGCTCTTTAACCCCTGGATCAGAAGTGAGTTTGGATTGGGTCAGCCGGGCACTGGGTACTCAAGGCGCAGGATCTGGGTGCAGCCTGCAGCTACCTCTAGGGGCAGCTCCAGCCCTCGCTCTTGCGGTGTCTGCTTCCTGGATGAATGGACTCTCAGACCCAGGGCCCGGTTTTGGTGTCACCCCTGGCAGAAGCAGACTGAAAGCAAAGGTTTCTCTCACTACCAAACCCTCGTGTTGGCTCAGGCTATTTGGTCACAGGAGATGAGAGTCAGAGATGGCCCTGGGAGAGCTACCCTTTATTGTAACAGTACAAGGCGCGAGAACTAGAAAGTGCTTCAGGAATGGAGGTGACCTAAGGGATAAACTTCTTTGTTTCCTCCCTGGACTCTCAAAGACTGTCCCCAGGTGAATCCAGGTTTTGTGGAACCTGAGGTTTATATAATTTGGAGAACCCTCTTAAAGAAAAAGAATACAAAATTTTGAATTGTTAAGGCCCCTCCCATGGTCTGAAGGGGGTCTGTGCTAGTGAGGGGCCCCTTCAGCTTCACAGTAAATCTGTTCTGCTTCTCTCCACTTGTGTGTTCTGTTCTTACTACTGCAGATTGCTGGGTCCTCTCCCTACTGAGGGCCCCAAATACCCCCCTTGAGTTGTAAATGACAAGGGTGGCCTCCTGTAGCTCAGCACCCAATGGGTGGGCTTCCCTGGGGTCAGGTAACCTCCTGCTGTCCAACCAGTGGCCACCTCTGGCAAAGCTCAGCCCAGGCTGTTGGAACTATTTCTTTTTGTTGTTGTTAATCCTCAATCCTCACCCTAGGATATATTTTTTCCATTGATTTGTAGAGAAAGTGGAAGGGAGGGAGGGGAAGGCAGAGAAAGAGAAAGAGACAGAGAGACAGAGAGAGAGAGAGAGAGAGAGAGAGAAACATCAGTTGGTCGCCTCTCACATGCACCTGGGATCCAACCCACAACCCAGGTACGTGCCCTTGACTGGGAATCAAACCCTCAACTTTTCCGTGCACTGGCTGATGCTCTAACCACACTGGCCAGGGTCTGATTCCCTTTTTATGTGTCACCTGAATCCCAGTGGGCTCCCTATCTCTACTACCCTTGCCCAGGGTAGGATTCTCCAATCACCCGCCGCTCAGATGGCCCTGCCTATCCTCAGTTCAAGGCTTTCTTTCTGGCTCCACAGGGTGGGCAGGTGGAACAATAGATGGGAACTAATATTCATTCATGCTTGGCTTGTAGGGACCTGCCTAAGTACAGCCTCCGTGTGTGTGTAGGGGGGGAGGGTGTGTGTATGGGTGTCTACCTGAGCAGGAGTGAGTTGTTTGCTCTGCTCACTGGGAGGTGATTAGGAGATTTTTCAGAGATTATCTGGGACTCAGTCTCATCTTAGATACTTGGAGATGGGGCTTTCCTAAATTCTAAAGGAAATTTTACATCCTATAATGAAATCAGAGCCCTATTCATAAACAGCAAACTTTGTAAAAGGGAGGCTGCACCCAAGCAGAGAAAAAGCGGATGGTGCCACCTGTGCTCTGGAATGTACTTCCCAGAGCCCTGCAGCACCTGGGCCAAACACCAGTTTGAAGTGACTTCCAAAGAAGTGATGTCCAGCTGACTTCATAGAAAGTACTCAGGATTCGGGGCAGGAGTCAAGGGCTCCTTGTGTATATGGCTCTGATTTTAGGCCCCAGGTTTTTCAGGGCTTCCTGATTTCTAATATCCTACTCTTCTGTTGCTTTGAGGACCCCTTGCCCCAGATAGGTTCCTGGGCAGATGGTTTGGAAATATTTTTCTCCTTCTGGTCCCCAGGAACCAGTCTAACACCCCATCCCCCTCCACCTCCAGCACCAGATGCAGAGAGAGACACTTTGCAAGCAGAGCAGTTCCCCCCACCACTCCCAGCTTCCTGAAGTGGGCAATGGACTCTTCCAAGCCTCTGTCTCCTCCCCAGCCCAACCCTTGGATGAGAACAGCAGAAGAGGCACTAGCAAGAGACTGTGGGAGTCCTAGGCCCCTGTGGACACCTCCAGAGTAGAAAGCCAGCATTTTGGCTTTCACTTCGCCAGCCCCACTGCTCCCTCTGACCCTGTTTTGCCAAATGCTGCTCTTCCCTTCTGCTCATCCCTATCAGCCTATGTTGTATTGGCTTTTCTGAAACACTTTTTTTTTTTTTTTAATTGAGCTTGTAAGAGAGACATAACAGGCCCACTGGGAAGTTCTCTGGGCTGCTGGCAAATTCTCCTGGGTTAGTAGCACTCTGGCTGCACGTGTCTTCTGGGAACCAGTAAGCTTTTTAAGGTTGGCTTGTTCCTGTCGGCCTGGCTGACCATGAAGGCCACCTTGGCTGACACAGACACTCTGACCCCTTCCCCCTCTCTCCACCAGAGAGGAGACAGGGTCCCCAAGTGGGCAGTGAAAGGAGGAAGTTCTTCTTCAGTCCTCATTAAGCCCAGAGCTGAAGGGGAGACCTGCAGCCGAAAGTGACTGGGCAAGGGGGACAGAGGCCAGGATGTGGAGACAAGCCTAGTGCCACACATCCCCTCATTCCTGCCTGCACCTCCCTCTCCACAGAGGATGCTGTGTTCCTGGAGAACGAGGCTCAACGCTGGGAGTACTTGCTGAACCAGAATGGCCTCATCTACCTGGGCACCGCTAACTGCATCCAGGAAGAGCCCTGGGACTTTGGTCAGGTATGGGGACCTTCGGGGAAGGTGAGGGGACAGTGATTGCCCCACAACCTTCAGTGTTCAGGCCAGACAGAGCTGGCAGGTGTAAAAGACCCTGGCCCTGAGGCAAAATGTTTAAGAAATTTCAACCATGTGGTACCTCTCTTTCGTCAGGGCCATATAAGACCATCCTTCGCAGCTTCCAGGGTTATCTTCCTAAAGACCACACAAATTAAATCCCTCTGGTAAATCCCCACTGTCTACAGGATGAAAACCAATCCCCTGGCATGACAGCCAGGCCCTTCACAGCCAGGCCACTGCTTTCCTTTCCCCGAGAGCCACCCATGCTCCAGCTCCTGGCCAGCCCCTGGACATGCAGGCTGAATGTTCCCCCTACCTGAAACAGGTTCCCTTCTTTATCTCTTGGAAAGCTCCTACCCATCTTTTAAGACCCTCTGAAAGCCTTCCTCAGCTCCCAAAGGCAGAGTGAATCTCTCTACTGGGCTCTCTGCTCTGGTGGCATCTCTCCTAGAGCCCTGGCCGTTGCTGAGATCTGTAGTCTAAGTGGCTAGCTGTCCCCCTCCACTCCTAACTGGGCTTTCGAGAGCAGGAACTGCCTTGCTGTCCTCCGCACGTGGGTCAGAGCTGGCAGGAGCAGTAGGAGTGCACTAAATGGATGAAGATAGAAGTGAAAGAAAACAGCACAGCCCTGGTCTTCAAGAGTTCACACATTATTGGGAGAGTCAGCTAATAGAACAGGCAAAGGATTGGACTGCCAGGCACAGGGAGACAAGGCAAGGGAGGAAGGAGGGAAGCCTGAGTCTAAGAGAAGGACAGGGTGATAGGGCTGAGGTGTGGGATGGAACGCCTTCATCACTGCTCTGTGTGGTCCCTACAGTTCGAGAGGGATGTCTTGGACCTCAGCCTGGACTTACTGAGTGTGGACAAGCAGGTGGAGGAGTGGGGCAACCCTGTGCATGTGGCCCGCATTTTGGGCTCATTGGTGAGTAAGGAGGGGAAGTGGGAGCCCTCCAGCAGAGCTGCCCCCTCTATGGCCCTGGGTATCTTCAAAACACAAGTGGTCTCTTCTTCCCAGGGTCTGGGGGATAGTTCCTGGACAAGTGCATGAGCGAGGAGGGGAGGACAGTAATATCCACAGGGGAGAGAAAAGCAAAGGGAGGCGTCATCTTCCAGGGCACAAACCTGAGGACTAAACCTGGCCTGGATTTCCTCAGAGGGGTCCTCCATCCCCTGCCTCCTCCCCCTGCCCAAACTAGGCCTAGGTGTCCGGAAGGGAGGGAGTGGGGTCCATCTTACTCAGTGTTTGCAGCTAAGGTGGTCCAAGGGACTTGTTTTTATTTCTAATTCATTCCTAAGGACATGCAGATCATGAAGATAGCTTAGTGCTTTTCCATTGTTCCTAAAAGTCCTTTCACAGGAGTGATGTGTCCCCATTTCCTCTTGTGCCACTGGACTCCCCTCTGAAGGGGTGGTGAGGGACGGGGCCAGCCTGTAAGGAGGAGAAAGTTTAGGATAAATGGGTCTCGAGACCCCAGGTGCAAACACCTTCAAAGGGATCAGGGCCAGGGAACCCAGCCACTAGTGAGGGGCCACTCTCACCTCCTCTGTGGCTTTCTTTGCCAGTGTGGTCCACAAACCCCTGACTTCTAGAGGACTTGTTAAAAAGATGGGTTCCTGAACTCCCCTCAGCCCCCCAGAGATTATAACCCAGTGAGCTAGGGTGGAGCCCCGGAACATGCAGGTTTAACATGGTCCAGGTAATTCTGATGCAGGTGGTCTGTTCCCCACGCGTGGAGAACTGCGATGAGCCCTCCTCACCCCACCCCCGCTTGTCCCTCTTGTCCTCACCTCACCCGGTCACCGCCACCCCACCCCGGAAGCTGACCATCCTGAGACTCACGTAGCATCCACACGCTTCCCCAAACAGCTGCATGCTCTCAAGGAGAAGAGCGTCCTGCCCACCCCGCAGACCCAGGCTGACCAGGAAGGGGCCTCAGTGAACAAGCGCCGGGGCAGCGTGCCCGTCCTGCGGCAGTGGCTCACAGGCCGAGGCCGGCCTGTGTATGATTGTCAGGCCTGGGTGTTGGCTGCTGTTGCTTGCACAGGTACAGAGCAGGCTCACCTTGGCTACTGTACAGGGTGCCTTCCTGTTGGGTTGCCCTGTGGTCCCCGACGCGGGAGGGACATCTTCAAAAGCAGGTACTGCCTCCACTCCGCCGCAGCTCCTCACCTCCATCGCATCCATAACTGGCTCCGGTGCACCATCTGGCGAGGAACCAGCTATTTGTTCATGACAGCAACTCCTGACCAGCTTCTGCCCCTTTTCCCCCTCGGCAAAGTTGGGCCCATCTGGTGGACTCTGCTTTCAAAGTCACTTTTGCTCCAAAACTTCCCCTGCGCCTCCCCCAGTGGAGCCAGCGTCCAGTGCTCTGTCACCTCCCCTTGCTGTGTGCTCTGCCTGCTGGGTGACTTGTGTGCACCTCATTTCCTGGCCTTTAGAGGTCCTGTGCCTGGTGTCAGTTCTAAATTCCTGGCGCCTGTGCCCCTCCTTTCCATGGTATCACCTGGCATTTAAGACAGTGCCTGCCCAGAAGAGACACCCAGAACACTAGCAGTGCCCCCAGGCCTCTGCGGTACCCTCTGACTCTGCCCCTTCCATGCAGTGCTGCGGTGTCTGGGGATCCCTGCACGCGTCATCACCACGTTCGCCTCAGCCCAGGGCACCCGCGGGAGCCTGCTTGTGGATGAGTACTACACTGAGGAGGGCCTGCAGAACGGAGAAGGCCAGCGAGGCAGAATCTGGTGAGAAGCCCAAAGGGGATGAAGTCTCAGACTGGAAGGGCTCCAAGCCCAGGTGCATAACCCCGTGGGAACCCACCACCTTGAGTGGCCCAGGTGCTGAAAGGAGGCTTTCAAGACTCTTGGGGGGCAGGACACTAATGGTCAGTTATGGCATGTGCGCCCCTTCCTGGTGTTGCAGCAGTTTTTACACAGCATCGTCCCATCCGCATGGCCACAACTGCTGTTTCTAGAATCTCTTCATGACTCCTTTGTTTAAACACTTTTGCTACCTTCAGGATCTTCCAGACTTCAACAGAGTGCTGGATGACCCGGCCTGCTTTGCCCCAGGGTTATGGTGGATGGCAGATTCTGTACCCAAGTGCTCCAAAGCAAGGTGGAGGTAAAACCTGGGAGTGGGCTCAGTACCACCCTGGGCTGCACAGAGCTACCTGGGCTGAAGGAGTCCCTTAGAGAGGAAAGGGGAGCAGCAGGTGGTCCAAAGGGGGTCTGAATTCCCTAAAGCAGGAAAAGCAGAAAGAAGGATAGTGGCTGGCAGTGGGCTCAAGGGGACAGAGGTGTCAACCATCTCAGCCCAAGGCTGTGGGGAGACTAGCCCCATCTCAGAGCAACAGGTGAGAAAGCTGAGCCTCAGTGAAAGGCAGAGGGTGTCAGGAAAGCTGGTAGATGTGCTGGGTCAGGGGCTTGCGATGTGGGACTTCTCAGATTCTGGCTGTGGATGAAGAGAGGATCAAGATAGGTTCAAGCTCAGAGAAGGAATCTTCAGGATCCATAAAGGATGGTTCTTCCTTTCCCAGGAACAGCACAGTCCACAGAGTCTGGCATATATAAGTGCTCAATAAAGGTGTCCTATTCCTATTACATCCATAGCAAAGCTGGCTTAGGAACCCCTGTGTATTGTGTTTCTCTGAGGTTCTACCTGTCCAGTTTCTGAGAGGGCTCCTGCCACAGGCCATTACCAAAATTATTGTCACTAAATGTTGTGTTTCACCTCTGCATGCCCCCTTGGAAACCCTGCTTAGTGCCCACCTCTGACCTTGATCCCTGGGGAGCGAAAATAGGGTTTAGGATGGGAACGGAGGTTGTGGAGATCTGACACAAGCAGAGGTCTGGGCATGGCTCCTCTTGCCAACTGTTCTTTCTCTCCCTCAGTCCTGAAGGCCTGTGATCTGGTCCCTGTCAGAGCAGTCAAGGAGGGGACGCTGGGGCTGACCCCCGCAGTAGCAGATGTTTTCACCGCAGTGAACGCCTCATGTGTGGTCTGGAAGTGCTGTGAGGATGGGACACTGGCACTAACCAATTCCAACACTAAGTATGTGGGCAACAACATCAGCACCAAAGGTGTGGGCAGTGACCGCTGTGAGGACATCACTCAGAACTACAAATATCCTGAAGGTACTGGGCAGGGGAGGGCCCTAGGCTTCTCGGCCCCTGAAATGGCAAAAGAGGGGAAGGGATGAGCTACACAGATGCAGGTCACAGAGGGTTGCAATCCTTTCCCCATCATATAAAACAGAGTTTCTCAACCCCCTTGGACGCTGTTGACATTTTGGTCCAGACAACTCTTTGTTGTGGGGTGCTGTGTGGCATTCCTGGCTTCTCACCACTAGATGCCAGCACCCCTCCACCACCAGCTGTGACAAACAAAAATATCTCCAGACATTTCCAAAAGTCTCCTGAGGGACAAAATTGGCCCCAGTTGAGAACTACTGCTATAAAACAAGACACTTAGTACTAAGTCCAGCTGCCCAAAGATGTTCTCCCTCTCCCTTGCTTATCCAATCCCTCTCAGCTTGTTCCTCCATATTAGTTAATGGCACCACTGTCTGCCTGTTTGTTCCAACAATAAGGTTTGCACTTCTGTCTCTTCCCCCTTTGCTGCCCCATATTACTCTCACATGTGTTCCCTCATCTCCTTCCCCATTTCCTATAGGTAACCCACGGCCTCGTCATCTCTTGTCCACAATATTCCAATGGCCTCCTAACTGGACCCTCCTGCCTGCAGTCTCTCCATCATTATTCCCCTTCCAAACTTTCAGTTTCCAGAATGAGCTTTCTAAGACACAAGTATAATGATGTGTCTTAGAAATTCCAGAATATTCCATGGCTCCCATTGCCCTTGGAATAAGTTCAAATTCCTTCACTTAAGAAGATGGAAGTCTCTTCAAAACTGTCCTCAGGGAGTGTGTGACTTGTCCAAAAGCTGACTCTCCCAACTATTCAAGGGACAAATCATAGCACTTGAAAAAAACTTGGCTCTTGAGTGAGTTGGAAGGAACATTCTGTGTCTGTGGTGGATGTGCTGAACACAGACTTTTTTTTTTAAGCTAAATATGGCCTTAGAGGTATGCAAAGTTCTTGTGACTTTGGCATTTGAGCAGCAGTGGGTAAATGAATCTTAATCCTGGGCTTTTATTAGAAAGATCTGTACCTGCTGGGTAAGAGGCCTGCTTTGTTTCTCCATTCTTCAGGATCTCTTCAAGAAAAAGAAGTGCTGGAGAGAGTGCAGATAGAGAAACTGGCACATGGGGAAGACAATGACATCTATCCTCCCAGTTTTGAGACTGCTGATCCTCTGTACCTGTTCTTGGAAACACCCAGCTCCCTGCCCCTGAGAGGGGATGCCCAGGTCTCCATGACCCTGGTTAACCCCAGTGACCAGGAGAAGGATGTGCAGCTGACAGTTGGGGTGCAGGCGATGTACTACAATGGCATCCTTGCTGCTGAGCTCTGGAGAGAGAAGCTGTCCTTTACACTCAGCGCCAACCTGGGTAACTCTCTATGGCCCTGCCGGATGCCTAAACTACCCAGCTCACACCCTGGGCACACTGCAGCCATAAGGCTCCCCCTGCAGGTCTCAATAGGTAGCTTCTAGCTCCTGGTATTTCTCAACATAATTTTATTGCGCTTCACACAGAAAAAAACATTCCACAATTCTGACTGCAGTAAGTAAACAGACCATAGCGATAGTGTAAAAAGTGTTTGATTAGGTAAACAGAATACAATGGCAGGGGAGCATTGCACCCAGGCTGGAGCAGGCTGCCTCCAAGTAAATCAAACAGCACTGGGTCTTAAAAGATGAGTAGGACAGTGATGGACAAAAAAGTGAGTCATGGGCATTCCAGGCAGAAGGAACAACATGTGCACAGGTTCTTCCTCCCAGATATTCTTATTTAATTGGTCTGGGATGGGGTCCAGGCATTGGTATTTAAAAACAAACGAACTCCCTATGTTATTCTAGGTTTGAAATTTCCTGGACAAGAACAGCTGTTCTCAAACTTTCCTGCAATCAGAATCACCTAGGGAAGTTTTATGCTCAGCCTGCACCCCAGACCAATTACATCAGAAATTCCATGGTTGGAGCCAAACATCAAAAAAAATTGTAATTCCTTGGGTAATTTCAATGTGCAGGCAAAATAGAGTCAGCGGAATAGAACTTGTCTACATTATTGCAACAGCCTCCTAATCACCACCCACCCTCCAGTCTCTCCAACATGTTCCCCTTCTAAAGGGTTGGGGTGGGGAGGGGAGAAGTAGGGGGAGTGGTGTGAGAGCTCAACGAGGCCAGATCATGCAGGAGCTTGTAGGTCATGCTAAGCAGTTTGAATTTTGTTCTCTGGGTAATGGGGAGCTGGTGAAAGTTGTTAACCAGGGAGTTGATATGATCAGAAATTCATTTTAAAAAAAGAACTTTTGGGAGAATGAAATGGAAGGGGTCATATTAGAGTAGTGGTTCTCAACCTCGGCTGCACCAGGGGAACTGTAAAAATACTAATACCTGGGCCTCACCCCCAAAGTCTGATACAACTAATTTGAGGTATGGCCTGGCATTGGGATTGTTTTGTAAAGCTCCCCATGTGATTCTAAGCATCCAATATTGAGAACCACTGGATTAGAGGTTGAAAGGTTTTGTAATAATCAAGAAATGAAGGACAAACTAAACTATCAGCACTTCAAATGAAGATATAGTAAGGAGGTTATAGATTGGACTTGTGAATATATGTATATATGTATGTGGGGGGAGGGGGAGCCTCTAGAATATGGAAAACGAGGAAGAGAAGGTTTGGGGAAAAAGATGAGTTCTGTTTGTGGCATGTTGGATCAAGCCCATGACATGGCCAAAAGGCAGCTGGAAACCTAAACCTGGTATTCAAGATGAAGGCCTGGTTTGGAGACCAGATGTGGGAATCCCAGGAGAAAAGCGGTGGCCAAGAGTCATGGCATCAATGAGCTCAAGGCAGGTTTGATTCCCAATCAGGGTACACTTGGGTTGCTGGTTCGACCACTGGTCAGGGTGTGTGGGGGAGACAACTGATTGATGTTTCTCTCTCTCCACTCCCTTTCCTTACTCTCTAAAAATCAGTAAGAACATATCCTTGGATGAGAATTTTTAAAAAACTTAAAAAGAAGGGCTGAGTGATAGTCAGCCAGAGACACTGGGTAGAGGGAAGATTTTTGTTTTGCATTTAAGATGAGAGAAAATAAAATCTGCTTACATGCTGAGGAAAATAATCAGCAGAGAGGAAAAGACTGAAGCCTCAGGAGAGATAATTTTTATTTATTTTTTATTTTTTTAATTTAAATCTATTATTGCAGATGTTGACATGATTGCAGATGTCCCCCATTTTTCCCTCCCTTTGTCCACCTCCACCCAGTGAGAGATGGGTTTTAATTGATGGTGCAACCCTTGGGGAAATGAGAGGCAACTAGAATAAGTATAGCTCACATTTATTGGGCACTTATTTGTGGCAAACATGGTTTTCAGTGTTCTATGTGCATTGTCTCATTTATCCTCACAACAACCTTATGAGGCAGGAACCATTATTATCCCCATTTTACAGATGAGGAGACCGAGACACAGAGAGGTTAAATAATTTACTCAAAGTTACACAGCTAGGCACTGGTAGGGTCAGGATGGAGCACAGATTTTAAAAGCAGAGGATTTGACTTGAGCAGGGGGCACACCTCATTCTCCTGGGGGAGCAGTGACAGGCGGGGTAGATGTCAATGTCTGTAGGTTGGAAATGGGAACATAAGCTTGAGAGGATTCCTCAAGGATGAAGGGTGGCTTTGTTTTCTCTGCAAAAGGCAAAGAGAAGCAGAGAATGTGAAGGAATTAAGTCAGCATATATTCAGCAACAGTGTGTAGCAGGGTCTGAGATAAGCACTTCATTTGCAGTTTCTCCTTTAACACAAGCCATCCCACTAGGTGGGCGTTATTATTAGACAGGGAAACTGAGGCCGAGAGAGCTTACCTTGTTCTAGTTCACAGGGACTGTCCTACAACCCCATGGGGCAGTCTGCCAAGCGTGGTAGTGAAGGGGGGGTGGATGGGCTCTTGGGTGAGTTCAGATTTGAAGTTGCTGAGAGGGATGAGGCATCTTTCTGACTTCCGTGAGATCCCACTCCTTTGCATTGTGTGTAACCGTTGCTTGTTTCTGGGGTGCACACTCTCAGCCCTTTGCACTCACTCCTCCTGTCACGTGTCCCAGTTAGGAGAATCACCACCAGCCTGTCCTTCTCCTATTTTGAGCGGAGCCCACCCGAGAACAGCTTCCTCAGACTTACAGCTGTGGCAACACACTCAGCGTCCAGCCTCAGCTGCTTTGCTCAGGAAGACATCGCCATTTGCAGACCATGCCTTGCCATTGAGGTAGGCACCAGTTTCTTCCCAAACTGCTCTCATCTGCTACTACTCAGGTCCCCATTTCAGAAGGAATCGGAGGCCATCACACTTCAGTGCAGGCGACTCTGCTGCAGGATTAGCAGAAAATGCTACATTGAGAGCTCCTTATCTTGAAAGAGATGGTTTCTTACATATGCTATTCAGGTTTAAATCTTCCAACTTCTTTAGGTGGTTAGGTAAAAGTTTCTCAAGTTGGTCCTTCCCGGTTGCTGCCTCCATACTTTATATGGATAATAGCCTATGTTTATTTAGCACTTTATACATAGGCCAATGTATTTTCACCTCATTTCTTTTCATTCAAAAGCCCTGTGAGGTGGAAATTTTCCCATTATTCAGATGAGGAACCTGTCCTAGAGAGCAACATGTTCAAGATCATAAAAATGGGACATTTTAGAGACTTACGGGTCTTAGTCTGGTCATCTTTCCACGTCTACCCTGGCCAAAATGAATGTGATTTGGTCTTTGCCCTCACAGAGGTTGTGGTTGGGTAAGGGAGATACATTTGGTCTTCTATGTAAGTGCTTTAATAGAGCCACAAAGTCACTATAGGGTAAGTGAAGTAAAGGGGATTAATTCCATCTGATTAGTTTGAGGAAGACTTCATAAGGAAGATGGCATTTATACTGGGCCTTGAAAAATGGGTAAGCTTCCAATGCAGAGGTGGGGAAAGGCCACTGCAGGCAGAAGGGGCCCAAAGGCAGGGAGCCTGAGGGGGTGTGCTGGGGATGGGAAAGTACCAATGTGGCTTGAATGTTGTTTAGTCAAGGGGAGAACAAATGAGGTTGGAGAAGTGGGTTGGGGCCAGACCATGAAGGGCTCTGAATGTCAACTGAAGCTACATTCCAAAAACAATGGGAAACCCTCCAAGATCTCTAAGTGGGGAGAGGTACCATCAGAGATGGTCTGTGATGGATCAAGGATGAGTAAATGCAGGAAAACCAGGTAGAGGGATAAAGAAGTCAGCTGTGGTGTTTGGGTCAGGATGGCAGAGATAGAAGAGCAATGGCAGGGAGGGTGCCCAGGACAGGAGGGAGTGACTGTGTCTCTTCCCACAGATGCCAGAGGCAGCAAAGCAATATCAGCCTCTTAAGGCTTCCGTCAGCATCCATAACTCCCTAGATGCCACCATGAAGGACTGTGTGATCTCCATCTTTGGAAGGGGGCTCATTCACAGAGAGAGGAACTACAGGTAAGAGACCACAGACTTCTCATCCCACTGACACATCTCAAATGGTAAGAAAGGCTGGAATCAAAGGTTAATAATTGTACTTGTGCTGTGTACATGGACACACAGCAAATATGCCCTTAAGTAGAACTAAGGGATTAGGGTCTGTTTCATCCCGAGGACACCATGTGTACAGGGGGACAGGAGGGAGGGAGGCTGTGTGCTTCTTAGGCACCCACCTGACCCTGGCCGCTGCCCCGATCATGCAGGGAGAGTCTCGATATTGCTGGTGAATGCAGGTGAGAGGATTAGGGCTGGCATTAGAGAATATCATGGGGAAGGTAGGCTGCCTCTCGAAAGCTTCATTCTACTAATGCCCACCACAATATTGAATTTTGTTTAAATATTTTTATTCCTATTCCCTACTCCCATTCCCACCACCCTTCGTATCCTTTTGTTAGTATATATAAAATGTACACTGTTTCTTCATGAGCCTGACCAAGAGGGAAAGGAAAAGAGAGAGGGAAACATCAATGTGAGACAGTGATATGTTGCGTCCCACATGTGCCCCAAGCAGGGACTAAACCCGAGACCGGGGTATGTGCCCTAACTGGGAATCTAACCCACCCTTCAGTGCACGGGACAACACCCAACCGAGCCACACTGGCTAGGGCATGAGCCTGCATTTTTAAGCTATATGAATGTTATGCTTAATTCTTTTTCTTACTTTTCACTCAGGTCTGTTTTTAAGATTCATCCACATATATCCAGTCCATTGTTTCTGCTACACAATACACAATGCACATCCCCTGCTTCCTACCACTCCACTTCTCAGTGATGGGCACCCAGAGTGCCTCCAACTCTCGGACACCACAAATACTGCTGCAATGAACATCCCCACACATGTCCCCTTATGCACTTGTTTGAAACTTTGGTGGGGGAAGAAAGGATATGTGTCCAGGAATGGAATTGCTGAGTCATAGGATGTGACCTGGTTTGACCAGGTACTATCAGATTTGTTTGCAGAATGGCTACAGGAGCCTCACTCTCCCCAGCACTCCACGATGGCTTCTATACTACTACTATTCCTCCACTCTTGGCAATACTCAACTTTCTCTTTTTTCCAGTCTAATAGAAATAAGGTAATATCTCATTATTGTTTTAATTCAGCTCTTCATGTCTTTGCCTTTTCCATTTCCTCCCCTGTAAAGTTCTTTGACCACCTTTCTTTTGGTGTTCTTCATTTTTTCCCTTGATTTGTAGGTGTTCCCTGTATAGTCTAGGTATTAGTCCCTTGTTGGTTTTAAATGTTGCAAGTATCTTTTCATTATCTCTCCTCTCATTATGTCCACTGAATCCTTCATTGAATATACAATATATAGTTTAGAGTTCATGATGATTACTTTTACTGTCCCTAAGGTCCTGGTAGGTTCTCTGGTACTGAGCCATTGCCTCAACCTCATGAAATTCAATGAGGCATTCTTGCCAGCAAGTTCAGAGGAGGGACTGCCAACATTTAACCAGATCAATTGTGAGGCAAAGCACCTCAAAGAAAATCTGTACCATTCCCTTGGTCACCATAAGGTCCACAGGCAGGCCAGGAGGCTGCTGAGAGGGCTCCAAACACCACTTGTTGACATACTGACATTTCAAAATACCTGCCATACCTGCTGCATTTAGCAGTGTGAGGGTTCCAAAGCTATAGCTTTTCCAAACACACCCCAATACTGTTACCATGACTGGGACCATACTGAAGTCACAGGTGATTAAAAAAACAACAGCCCAGCCAGCATGACTCAGTGGTCAAGTGTCAACCCATGAACCTGGAGGTCGCGGTTTGATTCCCAGTCAAGGCACATGCCCAGGTTTCGGGCTCTATCTCCAGTGGGGGGTGTGCAGGAGGCAGCCTATCAATGACTCTCTCATCACTCATGTATCTCTCTCTCCCCCTCTCCCTTCCTCTCTCTGAAATCAATAAAAACATATTACAAAAAAACACACACAAAAACAACAGACGCAGCTTGGAAGCCCTTAGGATTTCTCAACAATGAAATTGCTTACCATAGGGAGGCTCCTGTCTTCTACCCCCTTGAAACCTCATTTCAACACCAAGGTACTTAGATGTTTATTTCATTACGATCCACCTCTTCAAGTAGGGAAAGATCAGTCACTGGGACCAGCAAAGCAATGAACCTAGGATAGAACTAGCACCTGCTTTTTCCTTTATTTTAGATTAGGTCCCGTGCGGCCTGGAAACACCTTGTGCACCCAATTCTGGTTCACACCGACAAAGGTGGGGCTCCAGCGGCTATATGTGGAAATGGACTGCAACATGTTCCAGAACCTAACCAACTACAGAAGTATCACTGTGGTAGCCCCTGAACTTGCAGCTTAAACGGCCGGCTCCAACATCATTTACCCCAACTACCCCATTGTATCTATGATCAATAACCAAATGTGCTGGAAGGGAAACTTTGCTTATCAGACAAATGAATCTCTGTTCATTTAGTTGGGCAGAAGAGTGACTAAGATCTGGGGATCTTTCTGATTCCCAGAAATCAATAGAAAAGACATTCATATTTGTCACTCCTGCTTAAGGCAGCCTCATGAAGACTAGTTGTCTTAGAAACTACTGGGCTTGAGTGATAAAAGGAAATCTTTAAAAAGGTACTCAGATAAGTACATGCAGATTTTTCTGGTTCAGGGTTTTCATAACCATTTTAGTGCTAACACATTCATTAACTTATAGGTAAGGATAAGAACCTAACATTTAAATCATTAAATCATTCTTATATTTCCGATGAAGTGGGACAATATTAGCTAAAAAATAAATTTTTAGCTAATCCTAAGAATACATTGGTTGCTGCTATCCCTGACCATTATTATCCTTAAAGTCTCAAAGATAACTGACCAAAGTTAAATACAGAACAGAGGACCTGAGAGTAGAATGTTCTTCTAGATTCAGCTATGGATAAATTTTATGTGAGTTCTATATCTACTAAGTATCCCACAATTAAAGTCTGATGTTAATAACATGAATTTGGTCTAGGAGAGGAATATGAAAATTATTAAGTATATAGAAAATTGGCCCTGTAAGAAAGAATAAAAGAACTGGACTCCTTTTGTACAAAATTATGATTCTTTTGTTTGCATTATTTTGTTGCTTTGGCACTTTCTCAGTTTGAATTTAGTTCTTTTTCTTCATGACATTTGTTAAAAATACAGAATGCACTTTACTGAGGTAAATTAAAACTCTTGACTTAGGAACCTCAATGCCAAGTACTCACTAGTTGCTCAAAAGAATGGCTGCTGCTTCTGTTTATACCTAAAGAGACATCAGAAGGGCAGGTGGGATAAATTACACCTACACAAGGAAAAGACCCGGCAGTAGAGTTTGTGGAGACCTGCAGTTCATACATAAGGCCCAAGCTGAGTCACCAGAATATACATCACTACAGGTTTACCTTGCTTCCAATATATAATCTTCCAGACTGATGCAAAAATATAAGTGGTGATGGTTTTGCAAAAGAATTAACTAAAGAGACTCTTAAAATTATATAAAATCTTATACATTTAAAATTTTTTCGTTTATAAAAATTTTGTATTTAGCCCTGGCTGGTGTGGCTCAGTAGGCTGAGTGTTGTCCCATACACCAAAAGGTAGTGGGTTCAATTCCTGGTCAGGGCACATACCCAGGCTGGGGGTTCAATCCCCAGTTGGGGCACAGGTGCGAGGCAACGGATCAAGGTTTCTCTCTCACATTGATGTTTCTTTCTTTCCTTCTCTCTCTCTTCCTCTCTCTAAAAAGTGAATTTAAAAAAAATTTTTTAATTTTATATTTATATCTGGGGATACATAATATATAACAGAAAACAATACAAGTATGTATAAGAAAAACAAATCCTTTTCAATAAGGTGAACAAACCTAACAAATGAGCTCAATACCACAAAATAATTTTAGAAGCATGGAGTGACCTGGAATAATATTCAGAAGGCCTTAATAAGAAAAGTGATATTATATAACACACTCAAGTACTAAGAGGGGCTTTGGAGTCACCTTCTTTACAGTCAAGTGTTTTATTCTAAGTGTACTTCTGATCAGAATCAGATCTTCAGACCTACACGCTCAAAGGAAAGCAATGTTTTAGTCTCAACCTGTATTTCTGGTAGAAACTGTGGGAGGGTACTCATTTAACCACTGGCAGGTTAGCATTTTATTGAGACTGTCAACATCTTTAACAATGAAACAACACACTTTATTGCAAATAAGGAATAAGGCAGCTTCCCCAGGGGTCTCTGGGAGGCAATCTGGGAGCACACACTCATGCGATTATCTTTTGTACCTAACACAGAAAAATATATCATACTCACGTTTTACAAATAATTGCCAGTCTGGCCTCACCAACAATCTTTGGTAATAGTGTCTCTTAATGAGCACAGACAGAAACTCCCTTTCAAACCAGAAAGCATTGTAGCCCCATTTTAAAAGCAGACACCAGAGCCTGGCTGTGACAGTAAGAAAAAGAGAGAGGACAAATGAGGCTGAAAACTTATGATTCAAGTTCGTTCTGAGTGAGTTCCTTGATTCTGTTCATGCAATGATCCACGGCATTAATGAGTAAAGGGATCCAACTATCTTCTGGCTCTGGGGTCACATGACTTGCTCTGTGAATGGAATGGGAAAAACAGGAAGTGAAATCTATTATATTGTCAAGGGAAAACCTATCCTCAACAGGAAGCACAGAGGAAACTGTATTAAGAAAATGCAAGTTTCTTTGCAGAAACTCAGCTGCTCTACAACTGAAGTTGAAAGAAAACTCCATACCCACTCCTTGAAATGGGAATTGGAAGTTGAGAATGGCTGGATAGGTTTATTCTCAAAAATCTATTGGGGGAGAAGTCCTCATACTTACTTTGTAATTTCAAGTGCCTTCTTTAGAACAGACACAAGTTTCGCAGACTAGAAAAGAAACAGAGAAGTTTCATTTTTATGGTAAGGGCTTAACCTGATTTTGGATTCTTTTCTATTTAGCAAAATCTTATTAATACTGACTGTTGCTGTAACACTTTTATAAGTTGTTTTTTTTTTAGTTTAAAATATTTTTAATTAAAGAAACAGCAAAAGGAAGAATATAACCTGAATTTGTCCCAACTTTTGATAGTTCAGAACATATAGCAGAAACAATGTTTCTCTTTTTAAAAATCTAGGTACAGAATTTTAAGAACACCATTGACAAGATAAAATGAGGATGTATGTATGCCACCAATATATAATATATATTTTATATTTTTATTTGGGGTAATTAAAGAAGGTATATTTCTAAAAATGTTTATTTCTTAGGAAGTCGATTTTTAAAAAGTGAATACAAATTTAAAAAGTTAATGTCCAGCCCAGCCGGGTGTCGCTCAGCGGTTGAGCACCAACCTAGGATCCAGGAGATCGAGGTTGGATTCCCAGCCAGGGCACATGTCTGGGTTGTGGGCTCATCCCCGGTTGGGGGAGTGCAGGAGGCAGCCGACCAATGATGACTTTCTCATCACTGATGTTTCTATCTATCTCTCCCTCTCCCTCCCTCTCTCTGAAATCAATAAAAATATATTTAAAAAAAAGTTAATGCTCAAAAGGATCCTATTCTCCTTCAAGGTGTTTGTACATTGTGAAGATACATTTGATTAATTTCTACTATCTAATTTATCAAATATTATGAAGATTGATACATCTGATTGTAAAATATAAGCCATCTGGTAGTTTTACTTCTCTTTCCAATAACATTAGAGATAAGAACTTGAGTTTCTAAAAATAAGGTAATAAAACTCTCTCTAGCACAGAACCCAGGACTCGAAAGAATGCAATAAATCAGATTTTTATAAAGAACTTGACCCTTCATAGTTAAATCACATAATGTGTTTATATTAGAAGAGAGTTTTTTTCTGGAGCACTTATTTCTGCCTATAGTGGAAATTAGAAACAGATGACTTCCGGTTGAGAAGATCTGAAAGCACTACAATAATTAAGACTTTTTTTTCAAAGAAGCATTTTTTAAGGTCTTTGGGTTTTTCTACATGATTACCTAGGTGGTTATGGAAAGAAGTACTACCAGAGCTCATGGCTATTACAATTCAGCAAACGTTTATTAAGCACAAACACATGTAGGAAATACGATATTACTGCTGTACTTACATCCAAGTATGACAAATATATTTCCTATAGCTAAAGGAAATACTAGTGATTGGTGAAATTCTACCAATTAGGTTTACCAATGTAGATACTTACACTGATTCGCACAGTCAGGTGGCACATAGGTGGATATACACTCAGAGCCAAGTCATCCACGCTAAGGGCAGAAAGCAAAAATAACCATTAACAAAAAAAAAGAAACAAAGCACAGCTAGGTGGCTTCCAGTACACAACTAAGGATGCAACTAGTAAGAAAATGACTGCCCCAAAAATGCCTTTCCGTTCCTTAAATTGGGCAACCAATAAAGAATCAACTCAACGGGTATTTGCCAAACACATACATTCCCAGTTTCACTAGAAGACATGATTAATTCAGTTAAAAATGTGAGAACTGGCCTGGCTAGTGTGGCTCAGTGGTTGAGAGTCAACCCATGAACCTGCAGGTCACGGTTCGATTCCTGGTGGAGGCACATGCCTGGGTTACCAGCTTGATCCCCAGTGGGAGTCATGCGGGAGGCAACTGTTCGATGATTCTCTCTCATCACTGATGTTTCTTTCTCTCTCTCCCTCTGAAATCAATACAAACATATTTTAAAAAAAGTGAGAATCTGAAACCAACAATTTAATAACTAATACAGGAGGGGTTCATCTATATAATGCCACCAAAGTGGACACCACTTAACCAAGTGATCAAATTTAGTACCACCAATAATAGGACAAACTAAATCATGTGCTTCCCAAGGTGATGCGATGAGAAGCACAGAACACTCAACCATGTTATTCTTGCCAAAAAATCTTTAACCGGAATATAATCTATAATCATGAAAAAACAATCACATGAATCTAAATTGTAGGATATTCTACAACAATTCTTTAAAATTCTTAATATCAATTAAAAAAAAAAATTTTTTTTAAATGTCAATGTTAAAAAAAAAAGACTAAAAAAGACAAGGACTATTCTAGTTATAAGAGACTAAAGAGATAATCACCAAATACAATGTGACACCAAGACAGAACCCTAGATTTTAAAAAAATGCTGTAAGAGATACTTTAGAGACAAGTGGGCAAATTTGAATATTAGATAATATTAATTTGTTCAATGTTAAATTTCATGGATGCAATAATAAAAAAAGTATTTACGGGTGAAATGTCATTGATGTGTGCAACTTAGTCTCAAATGGTTCGGGGTGGGGAATGGCACATCTATCTATAGAGAAATATACCAATATAAAAATAATGTGAATAAGTGAATCTAGATGAAGGATGTATGGGTGTTTGCTGCACTACTTTTTCAACTTTCCTGTAGCTTTGAAGATTTTCAAAATAAAAAACTGGGGGGAAAACCTTGGGGTGACAGCACAAGCTGAGATCAGAATGTTGCTGCTTACATATTTCAAGTGGGGCTTACCTAGGGCTGATCTCATCAGAAATATCCACAATGTCGTCCAGCTGAGCCACCTGGTCTTTCTTCCCATTCTCTGCCACTGAGACCCGGATTTTCTTCAGGCAGGCTTTGGATGCTTTCACCAGTGCAAGGCATGGGATTATGAGCTCTTGATCTTCCTCTGACCAATATGAGTCCTGATTGTTTGGACACCCCAATACATCATCTTGTTCATCACCATGGTTGTCAGAGTTGTCCTCCTCAACATCATTCAAGAGGCCCTGATAAGGGTCACATTCTTCCACAGCCTAAGACATATCATGATTTATGTGAATACCAAAAAAAAGCCTATTGTACTTTCAGGATCATGTCTAAGTTGTCCCAAAACCTCAGCCAGCTACTTCACTAATGGCGACAGAGTTGGATCACTACATAAACCCTCTCGCTCTCCTAGTCCAGCAATGGAACAGGGGAGTGGAACTAAATCACACACCAGCATGGGGTGGAGGTGGGAGATAGAGAACAGGAGTGAGGATGGACAGGACATCTCCTCTCTTTATAACCAATTCTCATCTAGTAGGCACAGAGTTGCCTTCCCATAACCAGCAAAGACAGAAGTCTCCTCACCCGCTCCATTTCCTCATGTGCATCCTTCACTAAATCCACACTCTTTGTCAGCATTAAAAGGGCTGCAGCTTTGTTATCTGTAAGTAAAAAATCAGAAGTACAATTAGAGGGAAAACCCAACAATTCTCTTAAGTCTACAAAGGGCAACAACAGTATTCTCATTTGAAGAGAGTGCCAAAGACAGTCAAAAAGGCCAGTGGTTTAATGTAAAATTCTTACTTACATCCTCTGGATACCCAGACAGGGGTCTAAAAAGCTTCTTGTCATTCACCACAAGAAGTAGTAAAATGGTCACATGATGTTTCTCATTATGGTTCTCTTGGATGACCACAGCTTTTGGCTTAGCTGGCTCTACCTCATAACTGCTTCAATGTATCCCATAATACTGATCTTCAGTGTGGCTTAGTTGGTTGGGCATCATCCCATGCACCAAAAGGCCACTAGCTCGCTTCCTGGTCAGGGCACATGCCAGGTTGTGGGCTCAATTTCCAGTAGGGGGAGTGGAGGAGGCAGCTGATCAATGTTTCTCTCTTTTCCTCTCCTCCTCTCTCCCTCCCTCCACCTTCCTCTCTCTCTAAAATCAATAGAAACATATTTTTAAAAAGAAAAATACTGATCCTGGGGCAGGGCCAGGAGAACAAGCCACATTTGTTCAACAAGAGACAGAGCTATAGCAAGAGGGGAGTTTGAATTAAGAAGTATGAGAATTAAAAAAACTGGCAGAAAATATTAATACCTTTTTTTTTTTGTTGGTGATAAACTATACATATTCTACTAAACTCTTTATATAAGTTAAAATATATACATGGTACAAAACTGGAAGCTAGAAGGAGAGCTACTAGCTACTTTGGCCAGCAGTCAACGGCCCACTTCCCACTCTTACTCACCTCTTGGTATCTGAGGCACCTGCTGGCACGCAACCCAGACATTATTGCAAGAAATAAGGTCACTGTTCTCGGGGCTGAGAAAAGGAATCAATAAGGATATATCAATAATCTAGGTTCCTGTCTCCTAAAGAGCTCCTTCCTCTTGGTCACTATTCTCAGTTATACAACAACTTTGCTGTTGAAATGAGTTTTTTCCCTTTCCTGAAACAAGGAACCCCATTAACTGATAACCCAACTGTGGCATCACTACCTCTGAGTTGGAGTGATGGAGAGCACTTCCACAAGCTGAGCCATGCCATCCACGATGTCCACAGTGGCATTCCGAACCAGCTTTCTCAGGGTGATTCCTGTAGCCAAACCCCAAGACTAAGCAGCCTGGTCTTCTTTCCAGAAGTCACCATCTACTTTCCTGAGAGTCTAAGCACTACAGAACTTAAGGTAATATGCACCCACACGCTTTAACTGGAGTCCCCACACAAAACTCAGGTCTCACTTATATCCCCAGGTCATTTTCTCGCTCTTCCCACCATTCCTGAGTGCTGATTATAAGCAAGGCATGGCCCTGGCTGGTTTGGGTCAGTGGTTAGAACGTCAGCCAGCAGACTGAAGGGTCCTGAGTTCAGTTCTGAACAAGGGCATATACCTTGGTTGCAAGCTCCACCCCAGTCAGGGCGCATGCAGGAGGCACTAATCGATATGTCTCTCACATCAATGTCTCTCTCTCTCTTCCCTTTCCACTCGCTCTGAAAAGCAATGGAAAAAAATATCCTTGGGTGAGGATAAAAAAACAAAACAAACAAGGTATGGACCCACAGGCCAGGATGGAGGCCACTTAATGTGTAAGGGAACTCAGCAATAGGGTGTGATATAACATGCGCGGAGACTGGGGATGGCCTGGGCCTGGGGATGGGGCTGGGGCTGAGACCTAGCCAGCATCTGTGGTGATCTAATGGGTTAGAGAGGAAGGAGCCAATGAGAATTAAAAACCTTACAAGGCAGGGGAGATGGGAACACAGTGCCTATATCTAAAGGCTTATTTATAGAGATTACTTACATTATAAAGGTACATTATCTTTGTATATTATGAGAAAGTTACATTACATGCTCAAACTGAGGAAAAGGTAAAGTTTCAGGATATAAGCTGTCATACTAGCCAAGATCTATCCTATAAACTGAATGTTTATGTGTGCATAGTGGCTTACCCTGATCCTTGGGAAGTGAATAGTATACCGCAATAACTGCCTTGATGGCAGCATGGACTTGTTCACAGAGCCTCTGGGTTTCCTATGAGGAAGTAGATCAATTTCAGAATGACAAAGGAAATGGCTTAGATCAATGTGGTCAACCCTTCTACTCTGGAAGAGCGCAGACATCTGAATAGCATTCACAAACACCTTCTGAAGTCCTATTATGAGTTGGGCCTTGTGCTACTCTCATCACATACCAGAGAGTAGTTAGTGGGACATCAGGTACTAAGCTGATAATTCAATAAAACATTAAGAAACAGCTGGAAAAACTTATTCTTGATTTCTGTGAAATATTCACCCTACCACCTTAGACCAGGAATTGGCAAACTATGGGCCCGCGGGCCAAATCAGTTACACGGCCAGTTTTTTAAAATAGTATTACTGGGACACAGCCACACTCTTTTGTTTACATATTACCTACAGTTGTGTTCACACTATAAGGGCAGAGTTGAGTAGCTGGCCTGCAAAGCCTAAATATTTACTATCTGGCCTTTTACAGAAAAAGTCTGCCAATCCTCTTAGACCATTAACCAGGTGTTTTGTCTCTCTAGCAGGATCACAATATACTTAAAGGTAATAATGGACTCTACAATGCTCAGCATTGACTACTTTCTAAGCAGTCACTGACTTTCTCTTATCTTCCTTGTCCTCACTTCACTACTAAATTCTAAGACAGAGCTATGTAAAATGTGCTCTACAAAATGGTATCAGTCCATAAACTTTTTACCAGTCTAGGATGGATAAGTACAGCAATTGAGGGTGTTTAGAAACTTTTATGGCAATCTGACATTGCTTCAACATCTGAATACATAATTTTATAAAGATACCAGTTCATATGGAACTGGAATTAAAAATAAACAAAACCATTATTCAGTAAGATTAACATGCTGAGATTCTAAGAAAGCAATTGTGAGTCAAATATATATAATTCAGATAAAACAAAATTCTAATTTTCCATCTGAGTGAAACCACTGACCTAAGCAGGTACATAAAATAGTTCTATGCAGCCTCCTCATGTGTCTTACTAGCTGTGAATTTTAGCAGCAAGTCCTAAGTATATTTGAAAGGAAGTTGGCAGATAAAAAAAATAAGGCAATATTAGTAGTCCCTTTGAAATAAATATTGACTTTCTCCCACAAAGCTTTTAAAGTGCTCTCATATAATTAATCTCTTATTTCCTCATACAAATCTCTGAGTTATGTAGAGAGAGGGAGTTTATCACTGTAGGTGCAGCAAAAAAGTATTTTTCAATTTCAAAACATCTGGATGTATAGATTGAGAAAGAAAATGAAACTATTGACAATGAATATCAAATAAGGCAATGAGTATATGCCATTTTTAAATAAATTTATCCCAAATTAAGTATACCTAGCTCTAGAAAAACTGTGCAGAGAGCATACTTGGTCACAGTTGACATGTTTATTTTCATTAGTTTTATAATAAAGGGTTATAAAAAATGCATAAATTCTTTGTTCTAGAAATTCCACTTCTTGGAATTTTTTTTTTTAACCAATATACACACATACACCAAGAATGTATTAGGCAATTTAAAGCACTGTTTATAATAGTTACAAACTGGATACAACTTAAATGTCCACATAGAGTAGAGGTTAACTAAATACCATGCGGTCGTTACGAAGAAGTGAGCAACTTTATATGTGCTGCTGAGAATCAATTTGCAAAGCACAGTGTTAACTTTTTTTTTAAAGTAAGGTCCAGGAAAGTGTTTATGGCATCTTGCCATCTGTGTAAAAAGAAGCAGGCATATGTACATAAATGTGCATATGCATAGAATACTTATGAATAATTCTAAAGTACTGGGGAAGGGAGATATAAGCTTCACAGCACACTTAACTTTGGTATCTTTTTAATTTTATACTGCATACATTATGTTACTGATTAAATATAAAAATAACTGACTATAAAAAGGGATGTAGCATAACAAACATGTAGCTTAGACATCAGATAACTCCCAATTTAAATCCTAACTCCACGGCTTATTTACCTGACCTTCTGAGCCTGCTTACCCATCTGTGAGATGGGGGTCACATATGTGAAAACGAATAGCAAGTGCTTAAAAAAGTTATCAGAAAAGAAAGAACCAGAACGAACTTTAAGTTGAACCAATACTATTTAGAAGACCAGCCTACTCCAGGCCAGGTACTGCACTTGGCAATGTGGTCCCCATCACCACCCTGTGAGATGAGAACCGCAGTCTTACTTGACAGATGGCTTGAGTGTAAAAGTTGAAAGGAAAATGAGAGGATTCCTAAGGAATAATGAACGAGGCAGCACAGGAAATTAAAGCCCACCTGCGAGGCCGGCAGCGGCAGTGGAAGTCGAGAGAAAACTTCAGTCAGGGTCGTGGCTTCCCTTGACACTTTCACAGCTGCCTCATC